ACGGCACATAACAACAAGAAGACCTTGCTAGCTTTGGCTTAATAAGAGTTCCAGCCCACATCTGACTCATTCTGCTGCCTTCCTCCCAGAAATCATCCCTTTTGCCACCCCATCTCTGCTGGCAGAACCCAGGTTCTGTCTGTCTTGCTTTCTTTTGATCCAAAGAAGACTAAACCTACTCAACATGAATGTCCCTCCAAGCAGCCTTTGCTTTTAAATAAGTTCAACCCTTAAGGTGTTTACTCCAAAGAGAAATCAAATAATCAACTAGAGCAGAGCAACCACACTGCTCAGCCAGGCAGTCTTGGGCCAAGTCTTGTGTGAGGATTTAATGGAAGCTCTAAAGAACTGAACTCACTTCTCCAGTGCACAGAAAGAAGTAGGGATTGAGGCAGAAACTACAAGGGAGACTAGACAATGTTTAGAACTATAAATCTATTCATTTGAAATATACAAACAATTACAAGAATTATGCACATAAACATGGCAATCTTCACTTTCTTTTGCAATATAGATTCTTGGCAGGGTGTAAGGAAAATCAAACTCCACTGTCCCAGTTTTTCAAATTAAGAAAATGAAGTAATTATTTGTTTTCCAAACCTTCAACTTCTACTTCTGAATGCTAAATTTAGGCTTTAAGAATCAAGCACTAAAAGAAGATAAACCTCATTACATTTTTTTTAGTCTTGTGTTCTAGATTCTTATTCATTTTTCATCTTCCTAAAGCTATACAGGAAAAGGAAAGAACTAGTGAGAAAAACCACCACCCATCCGTCAGTTTGTTGTACTGAGGTAGCTTGTGAGTTACTCCAATGCTGGAAGCTATGCCACCAGTATTTCAAATACCAGCGTGGTCATCCATGATGGGCAGGATTCAGCAAAGCTTCCAGACCAAAGTAGATAAGAAGGTAAGGTCTGGCAATCTACTTCCAAAAATTAGCTAATGAAAACGTGTGGATCGCAACAGAATATTGTGTAATACAGTGTTGGAAGATGAGCCCCCTGGGTTGGAAGCCACTCAAAATACACAGTGGCCACAACATGGACTCTAGCCTACCTATGATCATGATCATGGAGCAAGACCAGGCAATGTTTCGTTCTGTTGGACCTAAGGTGCTAAGACTCTGAACCGACTAGACAGCAACTTACAAGTGAGAAAAACAAACGCAGTTGATCAAAATTAAGTCAGTTTATCAACGACATGTTGAAACCTGTAACTCTTTACACATTACCTCAGCAGTGTGCATTAGCTTTTTTCTTCATAGTAAACAATTAACAAGTATGAATCTTAGTTTTTTGTTTTTTGGTTTTTTGCCACATTAGGAACTTCAATTGGGGGGGGGGGGGAAATGAAAAATGGTTTCATAAGCAGGAAATGAGGAAATGAAGAGAAATGGAACTTCCACCTCCCCTTAATACATTTACTGACAGTCCCCTGACAATGAGTGACAGTGATGTCAAGTGGTTAGTGTGGCATCGGGGAGAACAGGCTATAGCCTCTTTGATTTGCTTTAAATGCTGACTAAGTCCTACTCAAAAGAAGCACAGACACCAGCAATGGTCACAGTGGACGTTAGAGAAGACTGTGAGAAACGTCATCAAGCACCATCAATTCTTTTGCTCCCAAGAAAGATGTGGCAGCCTGCTTCTAAAGATGTGGCAGCCTTGGAAACCCTATGGGGCAGTTCTGCTCTGTTCTACAGGGTTGCTAAGTCGGAATCGACTCCACTACAGTGGGAGTCTCCAAGAAACAGCACTTAAGACTCTCTGTTTTGTCTGGGTTTTTTGTTGTTGTCCTTGTTGGGTTTTTTTTGGTACATATTATCTTTAATACAATGTTGCACTGCACAATTTGGTATCATTCTCAGGTGTTCATTTGCAGATATTCAGTGCTGATTTATAATGATGCAGATAATAAAAGACAAAAATAATGAAAATAAAAAAAGGAGGTTCAAGTATTCCCCACTTTTCAAAACTTTGCTTTATGCTACTCTGCTTTTATGAAAACCCTACATTATACCTGTTTTTGCCAACTAAAGAAAGCTGGAGAGGATTTTCAGTTACGAAAAAGACAAAAAAACAAAACTAGCATTCTGTGTTTGTTTTGCAGCCAGTTTCTAAAGAGACACCACACTTTGAACTATGTCTGTGAACACTACATGGTAGTGTTATGTCAGGTTTTATGTGTTATTTGGTATAATTCGGTAGGTTATTTTTGGGTCTAGGATCATTCAAAAATTTTTCCCACATAAATTGATGGTAATTGCTTCTTCACGTTCTGCCTTTTGGGCTTAAGAAAGATTTCCTAAGGAAGACTCTACTTTTGGCTAGCAGGGGAAACTTGAATTGGACTTAAGAAAGAACTGACTACAAGGGAATCAAGGGAATGAATCACGCAAAGTAACCCATCAAGTTAGGGTCTATCTAGATTGGCTAACAAATGCATTTTTTGTCTTCTGGATCCCTAACATTTATGAGGAAAATCATATAAATAGAATGATAATATATTAATATATCCATATGGTGCCTTATGCAACTGTGGCCCTAGATACTTTATGTCCTATAATTAGATGAAATCCAGAATGCTCTTTTTATTTCTCTCATTCTTGTTACTGAAAGTGGAGAAGCAGACAAATTTTTAAGAGGTTTGTTCATTCATGAAATAGCACTTAAGATATCGGTGCCAGTTTATCATATTAAAAGACCTAGTTATTCATTTGAGGATGGCGCAGGGCCGAGCACGGTTTTGTTCGTTGTGCACGAGATCCCTATGAGTGGGAACTGCCTCAGTGGCACCTACCAATTCTTCCCTTACTCTCTGATCAGATGCAAGATGTTAAAATATATGTACAATGCAAGCAGAGAGAAGTTCTTCTAAGAATTTAAATTATGTGAAAACCCACACAACTCACCTGATGTTAAAAAAAAAAAAAAAAATGGTGAGGTGATTTTAATTACTCCATGAAGTTTTACAATCATTTTGTTTTAGTATTCAGGAAACAAGAGTAGGAAGAAGTGCACTGTGAGTACACAGGAAAATTGTTCTCTATGAGACGAGAAGGCAAACTAAAATTCAAAGAAAAGAGTCCAGCGAATAGGCTTTTCCAAGAATTAACCATGTAGGTAATGGCTGGAAACCGCCCCTCTCCCTTTCCATTAGCCTTTCAAGGGATCCGTGGTGAACAAGAATGTTCTAACAAGAACGCAACAAGGCCAGGGCCAAAGCCACGTGTTCAGTCTACACTTCCTTTCAGAAAGTGCCCACCAAGAGAAAAAGGTCTCCCCTGCTAGAGACAGGCGGCCATCCCACCTTCACCAATTCGGCCATGTTGTGCGGGCGGGCCGTCTCTCTCCACAGCCACCGGTTTCAGCCATGTGACTGGGCACTGCCAACTAACTCCTTTTATGGTGAGAGGTTGGAGTCTTCGTAGTTTCCCCTCCCAAGCACCTACCCGCCCATCCACCCCCTACGTTCGCTGCACGCACCCAAGTCGAACCCGGAGACACGCACGCTTGCCCCTACACACACCCCACCTCCTTCCACCAGACCCCTACCAGATGCTCCAAGGTAGACTCTTAAAGCACTTGCCCACCCACCCCGAATCCGAATGTGGGGACCCACGGACAGAAATTGCGAGGATTTGCAGGGATAGGGCCTGGTTTCAGCGCTGGCGCACCGAAGCAGAGTAGAGAAGAGGCTAACAAGGTGCCCGGGAAAGCATGAGGACTTCCCGGCGTCCCCGCTGGTGGGAGCCTCAGCGCACCATCAGCGGGAAGCACGACTGCAGTAGCTCCGGGATCCCCAGCCCCAGGAGAGCAGGAAAGCCGCGGGAAGCCGCCCCCCGGCGGCGCGGCGGGACCTAACAGCCTTCCGCCTGCCCCCGCCCCTCCTCGCTTCCTGAAAGAGCCGCAGCCGCTGGCTGCGGGCTATCGAGGCGCGTCCCTCCCCTTCCAGTCCAGCCAATGGGCGCCCGGGCCGCGCTCCGCCTGTCTCCGCCTCCGCCAGGGAAATTTGAAGCTGGAAAAAAGTTTGTGCAGAGGCTGGAAGGGCGAGAGCGGAGCTCGCAGCCGGCAGTCAGATAGGAAGATGATCTACCCCATGTTAGAGCCCCAGGCTGAGCAGACCCTGAGCGTCCCCCAGGGCACCAGGAGTCACCGCAGCGGCAGCAGTCAGCCTCGGTAGCAGCCCTAGCTGCCAGCGGCTGGAGAGGAGGGCCGCTAGAGCGGGGACGAAACCTCGGTGTCACCTGCGCGCGCGACCACACACACCTGAGCGGACATTTGCGGGCTCCACAAAGCTGGGACTTATCTTTGGAGGAAAATCAAATAAGAAATCTCAAACCAGCCTTCATTAAGTCATCCCACTGACTGCTCCGGTTCACAAAATTTTTTGAAAGCTGGTCACTCTGAACCCAGTTCCTGAAAATTGGCAGTTACTGAAACTCGGCTCTGAGAAGGCAAAGGCTTGGCCAAACCCGGACTGAGTGGGGCGACGCTGAGGGGTAGGTTGGAGGCGTGTTCAGTACATCAGAGGGGGGACTCTGGGGACCCACCGGGCTGCCACAGGTGAGATGGGGCTGGGAGCGCGGACCGGAGAGCGCGGTGACTGGGCGCTCCCCGGGGCAAGCAGGGTGGGGAGAGAGCGCTGTGCAACTTGTCTTCCGTAACTTGTTTCCAATGAGAATTTTATTGACTCAGGTTCTGTCGGGAATAACAATAGCCAGCCACTTTTCCCGTGAGATGGGTCTTGTTCATCTTGGCAGTGGAGAGAGTTGCGTTGGGGGAGGAGAAGGGAATGGGAGCCTCAGCTTATGAATATTAATGTCAGTTGAGTGGTGCTTTTTCCAGGACGTACTGGGAGCCTGGAGATTCTGGTCGCCATCGTTGTTAAGTGACTACAGTCTACAACGCAGACTCGAGTTCCTCCCCGGATCTGAACACCTTCCGAGTGAACATTTCTGCTGACCGGCGCCTTTGTCTCTCTTATCATCCCTAGACCCGGCCTCGCACCCTCAGGGCTGCGCACCACCGGCCATCACCATGTCCATCTCTGGGGCCAATGCGTCCGCCTCCTTTATCCCGGGCCGTCCGAGCAACCCAGTGACCATCCCGGCGGTGATGTTCATCTTCGGCGTGGTGGGCAACCTGGTGGCCATCGTGGTGCTGTGCAAGTCGCGCAAGGAGCAGAAGGAGACGACCTTCTACACGTTGGTATGCGGACTGGCAGTCACCGACTTGCTGGGCACGTTACTGGTGAGCCCGGTGACCATTGCCACGTACGTGAAGGGGCAATGGCCCGGGGGTGAGGAACTGTGCGAGTACAGCACCTTCATCCTGCTTTTCTTCAGCCTGTCGGGCCTCAGCATCATCTGTGCCATGAGCATCGAGCGCTACCTGGCCATCAACCACGCCTACTTCTACAGCCACTATGTGGACAAGCGGCTGGCCGGGCTCACACTCTTCGCTGTCTATGTGTCCAACGTGCTTTTCTGTGCGCTGCCCAACATGGGCCTCGGCAGCTCGCGGCTGCAATACCCAGACACCTGGTGCTTCATCGACTGGACCACCAACGTGACGGCGCACGCTGCCTTCTCCTACATGTACGCCGGCTTCAGCTCCTTCCTCATCCTAGCCACCGTGCTCTGCAACCTGCTCGTCTGTGGCGCGCTGCTCCGCATGCACCGCCAGTTCATGCGCCGCACATCGCTGGGGACCGAGCAGCACCACACGGCAGCCACCGCCGTGGCGTCCGCAACCTGCCGAGGCAATCTCGCCGCCACCTCCCCAGCCCTGCCGCGCCTCCGAGACTTTCGGCGCCGCCGTAGTTTCCGCCGAATAGCGGGCGCCGAGATCCAGATGGTCATCTTACTCATTGCCACTTCTCTGGTGGTACTCATCTGCTCCATCCCGCTAGTGGTGAGTGGCCCGGGCTGGGGCTTTACCCCACGTCCACTCCCTCCCATTCGCTCCTTCTTCCCGTTTGATTCCTTCTCAGTGCAGGCAAGACCCACGTTAAACTCTGCCCCTACTGAGACAAGTGAATTTCCCCTCATAGCGACCCCTTCTTGGGTTTCCGAGGCAGGATCGCTAGGGAAGTACATTGCCCAACCTTCTATCTGAGGAGTGGCTGGTGGGTTTGAACCGCCAGCCTTCTGGTTAGCAGTCAAATGCCTTAGGCACTACGCCAGCAGAGCTCCCGAACTTCCCCTACATCCCTTAATTTCTTTCCCAGGAAGCTAGATTTCCTTGATTTCCTTCCTTCCCGGCGCAGCCCTAACCCTTTGCCGCCTAATATTGGCCTTGAGCCCTCTAGGGAAATAAATGCTTGCCCTCTGCCAGGTGTGGAGAGGAAAGCAAAGGAATGTGACAGCCCCGTCCTCCTGAAATGTCAGGTGGCTGTCTCTGTCTTGTACACAGTTTCTTAGGAGAATGGTTTTGGGAAGTTTTGATTTATGTAGAATGTTAGAATTTTAGACCTAGGAGAGATTTTAGATGCCTTGTAGTATAGGTGTAATACCATTATAGAGACACTGAAGTTCAGAGGTGGTTGTATTCATTGCCAAAGCAAAGCCCTAAAGCCTGTGATGAACCTTAGGCCCATCTGACTCCAAAACCTACCCATGTAAGATTACATCATGTCTCCCTCTTAGAGCACTTCTAATTTAGGCCTTCCTCCAGTGTGTCAGTTTGCGTTTTGGCCCACTTCAATTTTTGGACAACATCTTCTTTAAAACTGCCTTTGCATTAATTTTTCAAATATTGCCAGCAAAAAGGTCCAGAAGTTACTTAGTCATCTACAATGCCTTTGTTTAAAACAGAACCAGAAGCAGATGATCGGTTGAACTTAATACTTTATCCAGAGTTTCTCCTGAAACCAATTAGTTCTGAGTTTTCCAATATCTCACAACACCGAATTCCTGGAAATTCAAAACTACTACCTACTCAGAAAATGATGACTTTCTGAATTGACAGTTTTACGCTAGTTGGGAGCAAGCTCTTTCTTGTACTAGTTGGGAGCAAGAGAAAATAAATTTGATGAGCTATTATTCCTTTCTGACCCTTATTAACACTGCCCAGTGCTCTTTATTATAAAAATATTACATCTCTGATACAAGTGACTGAAAATGGAAGGAACTTAGAGGTGGCTGGAAGCCAGCATACAGTAGCTTCTTGCCAATTTGTATAAACAAAAGTAAATATAATTGGCCAGAAAAGTCTTTAAACCATTCCAGGACTCAGTGTAATTTACAGAATTAAGTCACACTTAAGCTGCATAAATATATTTTACTATCTGTAATGGTAACTCAGAATTAAGTGAGATTTTCAAAGAAACAGCTCAGCTTCTTCTGGGGCCCAGTTCTCCAGTCTCTGCCTCATGTTTTACAGAACAGTAAATGACAAAGTGAGTGGTTGTTATTTACAGAACATCCACTTTAAGGAACTGAGGAATTAAGAGTTAGAAGGTTAGTGACATGCACATACTTGGTCACTGTTTTGGTTGGAAGTAACCATGTGAAGCTACTGATCAGTGCACAGTCACAGATGAAGTGTTTTCTTCCAGCTTCTAGAGAAGCATAAACAGCTTAATTCACCCAAGGGTAGACCTAGCCCTGAGGGGCAGGGCTATTTATCACAAAGACTTTGAAATTATTTGAGGAACTGAAGGCAAGAAATCATAGGAGCTGTATGAGTTGTTTGCAAATTACCTACATTGTAACTAAGAAAACATACTATGTACTCTATATATTCTCAGATACTTACAGTAGATAGTAAGTGCTTTCCTCTTGAAAACCGAAACCAGCTCAGCTAAAACGTAATCACGTTAGTAAAGCATTTACGTGCCTTTGTAAGAAATAAGCAACGGAACAAGTAGTGTAGCTTCAGTTTTTAGCCTTTAGTTTTAGTTACTGATAATCTGCCTTTGGAATAAATTGAGTTGTAAATTAGTGATAAGTAAGGGGGTCATTATTCTTCTCAGCCACCCATAGTACAGCGTTACTGAAAGAATCCCAAGACTGATATCCACAATCAGTCTTCCTCACCTTCTCTTACCATTTTTTGGTTTTTTCATGTTTCTCATATTCATATTGTAGTATGAGATTCAAGCTTGTAAACCATAACATTTAAAGCATTTGGACCTACTTTCTTTTCTGGGGAAGCAATGAAGTGTCTAGTTTAACTTTATCAGATCACAGGTTGCTAATCTCATTTGAGGGAATTCCAAGCCTTCCAACCATTTAAAATACCTTGGAAAGGCTAAGAAAGCAAGTAGAGTTCACGTGGAATTTCAGAAAGCTTGATACAGTGTAATAGGAAAATGAACAGCTGCTGAAAAGCAGCAAAATGTTGGTATAAAGTTTTGAGGGGAAAAAAAAGCTACAGTGACTCTTGTGATGATTGACATTGAGTTTAGTATAAAAAGTAAATTATGATTTTTTATCCAGAATATGTGTGTCCCATAACAGAGCTAAGCTTAGAATGGAAATTTGAGAATGGTTGGGAAATCACTTATGGATATAAGGAATTGTACTAAGCCTACAAAAGTCTTCTGACAAGAGGCATAATCAATAAACAAAGAAAGTATAAATCAAATCTACAAGGAGCATCATATGACAAGATCAGTGGGGAGGTGGTATTGCATTTGTTGTTGTTGTTGTTATGTGCCCTCGAGTCGGACCGGACTCATAGCGACCCCTCCTTGGATTTCTGAGGCAGTATCACTATGGAAGTAGATTGCCCAACCTTCCATTCTAATTATCCTCAGTCTTAGGTATTTTTGAAATACAGAAGAAGCTGAAGAAATGGAAGAACTACATTTTAGATAAAAAGGGTTGATGCTTTGGAGAGATACAAGCAGGACAGCCTTGCAAGGTCACAGTAGTAAGTGCTGTAGCTAGATTAACTTCTGGTGCCTAATTTTGCAGTTAATTTTGCCTAATTTTTGAACATTAAGATAAGAATTCTAATCGAATGTTTTGCCTCAGGGCCAAACAGTTATGCTGTAGTCTTTGGAAAGGCATTTCTCCATACATAGGCAAGATAGGAAGGCTGTATTTGTTGCTTGTTTCCTCCTTTTCTCTCTCCTTATTCTAACATAGAAAGTACTCATCTCTGTAAGAAGCAGAACAGCCAATTTGATTAATCTTGTGCCTTGTTTGGGTACATCCTTAGGAAAATAGCTTCCTGTGAGTGTTTATCTGGTTGCTTATTATAAACTAGTTGTCTCTATAAAGTCTTTCACCAGCATGGGTCAGCAAAGGTTTCCAAAGGCAAAAGAAAACTTTGTAAATACAAACACTTGTGTTTACTGTAGGCAAATTGGAAGCAGTCATACAACGCAACTGATGGGATTTCAGATAAGATTTATAGGTACAGCATTAATGCCATCAGTTTGAGTACACTTACAGCAGAGCCTGAAGTATTTATTTTTTAATAAAACTGGCTAAATTAAGAAACAGCAATTCCTAGAAGCAGTTTTTCCTTGTAGCGTGAAATCGCAGACCTGCTAGTAGTGCGGTACCGTGAAGACGACAGAATATCAGCTAACAGTCCCATCTGATTCCTGAAAATGCCCTCGGAAGAAAGTAGGGTAGGCAGATGTTTTCACCCTCTCTGCACACCTCAGTTTCCTGAGCTGCAGAAGAATTTAAGTCATTCTATAACTTACTGAGTGACTGTGGCTCTGGCAGTGTAGTGCCTAAGGCACTTGACTGCTAACCAGAAGGTTGGCGGTTCAAACCCACCAGCTACTCCAGGGAAGGAAGACGGGGCAGTCTACTCCCATAAAGCTTTACCACCTCAGAAAGCCAATGGGGGTCGCCATGAGTCAGAATCGACTCCATAGCAGTGGGTTGGGTTGGGTTTTTCTGTTGGGTAGATCATAGTCTCCTGCTCTTTCACCATGCTGGCCTGTCAAGCCTTGGTTTTAATGAACATCTTACTAACAAGATTGCTTTCCCCAGAGCTGAAGTGATTCTTATAGTCTCCTATTAGAATGCTGAACGTTGGAGATTTAAGAAAAGAATTGCTGACCCTATATTAAATGACTTGCCTGCAATAAATGGTCAGTTAGTGACCCAGAAGGAACAAGAATCAAGCTCTCTCACATTCCCACCCAGTCGAATACTCTTTCCACTAACCTTTGCTTAAACATTGTGTGTGTGTGTATGTGTGTGTGTGATTAAACAGAAGTGTTAACAACTTCTAGTAACAGCTGTGTCAATTTTGGACTCTTCACAAGGAAGTTAGATAACTGAGCGCCCACGGATAATACCTTTTATGTGCTTGGAACAGAACAAGTAGCATAAATCCAGTTACAAGTTTGACAGTTAATTACTATATCTGTCGAATCAGGATTTCAACGTTCTTCAGTTAGATATGTCCTGCCAACAGGTTTTTCTTAAGCAGGAAGTACATGTTTTTGATACCATGTCGTTAGCCATGCCCCAAAGTTACCTCTGCACTGTGGTTTTCAATTATTGATATATTCCAGAGAGGCCAAGTTTCCACATACGGGTTACAGAAAAAGCACTGACAATCAACATATACATTACGCGCTGGATACGACACTAAGCACTTAACAATGTATCATAAATCATAAGAAGCAGAGCCAGGATGGGAACAGAGGTCAGTTTGATTCCAAAGTTTGGAATTTCACCCCTGCAATGTAGACCAGTTGCTGTCAAGTTGACTCTAACTCATGATGACCCTGTGTGTGTCAGAAGAGAAGTGAGACCCTGTGTGTGTCGGAAGAGAACTGAGAACTGAGAACTTTCATAGGGTTTTCAGTGACTGGATTTTAAGAAATAGATCACCGGGCTTTTTTTCCCAGGTGCCTCTCAGTAGACTTGAACCTCTGACCTTTTGGTTAGCAGCCAAGCATGTTAATGATTTGCACCATCCAAGGATAAGGTGCCAAGCACAATGCCATCAAGTCAATTCCAATTCACCGAGGCCCAAGACTGTAAGTCTTTACGGAAGCAGACTGCCTGATCTTTCTTCCACAGAGCCTCTGGTGGTTTCGAACCACTGACCTTTTGTTCAGCAGCCAAATGCCAAATGCCTTAACTACTACACCACCAAAGCTCCTTAGGGATGAGGTGCGGCCTCCCTTAAAGCTTTTCTGCGGTCTCATCTTCTTTTGAATTTATCATATTTTCTCCAAGTTATGGTCCAATCTGTGCTTTTTATGTTCCTGAACTATAATCTCTCTTCAATCTTAGTAACTTCAGAATACTAGAATGTAACCCCGTATTATTGGTAAGCCATGTGCACAAATATGCAGTTATGAAGAAAAAGGCCATAGCTTTTAAAATTGGAGAGTATAGGAGCTCTGGTAGTGTATGCCTAAGGCACTTGACTGCTAACCAGAAGGCTGGTGGTTCAAACCCACCAGCCACTCCTGGGAAGGAAGGTTGGACAATCTACTTCCGTAGTGATACTGCCTCGGACACCCAAGGAGGGGTCACTTTGAGTCGGGTCCAACTTAACGGCACATAACAACAACATATATGTCTCATTTTATTTGTGTCCAGTGAATTCTTTTAAGGTATTTCCCCCTGACTCAGAGGCTCTATTATATCAACAGCACACTCTTCCAACACTGGGAATGGCCTGCATGGGCTCCTTCTGTGCAGCACATCAGGCTGGTTGGACAGGAATTGCCAAAAACCGCTTTCCCCTGCCCACATGACATTGCAGTGCTGCTGTGGATGTTCCCAGCATCAGCTGGCTTTGTCCCTTCAGAGACAGCATATCAAGTAGCCTGTAAAGTGAAGCAGACGTTGCTATATTTTGGTCCACCATTATGAAGTAGATAGAGTTCTAACCATCTTTTGCCTTTTTTTTTCCCTTTGGTTTTTTTGGGTTTTTTTTTTTTTTTCATACTTGAAGTATATCTCCATGGACAATATGTTATAAGAAAAAGCCATGGGCATTAGCATTGGTTCTTTTCAAATAATTGAACCAACTCTTGGGAATACGTTTACCTAAATTTTGAATCTTGGTCAATAAAAACCAAACCAAACTCTCTGCCGTTGAGCAACCCCTCCTTGGGTTTCCGAGACGGTATCTCTATGGAAGTAGGGTGTCCAATCTAATATATTCATCCCTTTAACTACCCCGTGAGCTCCCCTTTGCTGAAATGGCATTAAATGACTAGGTTCAATGGCTTTCACTAACTGTAAGCTTCCTGCCCCCACGGACTCTCAGATTGAACATACTTTAACACAGCTTCCTTTCTAGCTCTTCTCCAGTAATCAAAGTGAATTCCTGATGTGGATAGAGAATTCTTTCCTTGCCTCTTACCACCTGTGATATAAAAGCCTCATTAATAGGTTTTGTTTCTTAATTTTTTAATTTTTTTTAACAAATATCCTGACTTTTGTAAAAGGTCACAAATTTAAAAATAGTATGCTAACTCCTAATACATTCCTTACTATTTAACAAATTTCATTACTTTTATATCAAAAAATTACATTCCTTTTATATTAAAAATCCCCCTCCTTTCACTAATAACCATGTTTCCTTTGAGGTTGTAGTGGGAGAAGCAGCCAGCAACAAAGCAATTCAGAAATACTAAGTTCAGACTTAACCAAGATTCTGTGCTGAGTGTATTGGAGATGGCTTGCAAAATGCTACTGGGCAGCGGGTGGAGGTGGGGGTGGGAGGGGTGCACTGTGGGACCAGAAACTTCCAAGTGGAGTAAGACTGCCACCTAGCGGGTTGGAGTCTCAAGTTGGACCCTGCCATAGGTCTCTTTTAGGTGACACACAGGACCTGATGATACTAACAGATTTTAATCCATCATTTCTTTTACCCTCAGGAACATAATATGTGATGTGAATATAATAAATTCCTCATGTGTTTTATCAGTAATTTCAGAGTCAGGATATACTTCTTAAACAGGAAGCCAGCTGGTAGAACAAAAGAAGCAGTATGAATCTGGAGGCCTGGGTGGAGGACCTTAGGTAGCCTGGGTCTCATAACACGTCATCTGAGAAGAGTCCCGCAGGTGTGGAGTAACTGTGTGGCATAGCTGAGAGACTCAAGAAAGATAAACCAAGATACTTCGTTTTACCAGCTTTTATAAAAGTGAAAACTCAAGCATGCTTTGTCTTGATATTATCATTTATCACAGCACATTTTCTAGAGATTAAAGTGTTGGTTTCATTTCATTTCTAGCCATTTGATCATTTTATTCTGTGAGATTTATAGGTCCATATTCCCTTCTCCAAAACATTGAGGGCCAGAGTGTTTCAGGATTCAGAATTCCTTGGATTTTAGAAAAGTAATTTAGTAATGTCTGTATAACATGTAACATCCCTATTAGAACTGAGATTGGTGCAAACACTAAATGGAATAAATGAAGACTTTAAATATCCTCCCAGTCTGTTCAGTTCAGGTTTTGTTGCCAAAATAAGTTCAGATCAGGTTTTGCAAATCAATGAGTTCCCAAAACAACACAAAATGAATAAACAACAACAAATGAACAACAATGAAAATTTTTTGATAAGGGATTATGGACCAATACCTAATTAAAGTAAAAATTCCAGTTAAGGAAGTAATTGAAATCCAGTTATATCTTATTAATTCAGTATGATGAAATTTCCAGATTCGTTAAATTTCTTTCTTTAAACATTGTAAACTTTCTTTTACCCAAATTGTATAGCTTTCTAAAATATCTCTTCTACATCCCTGGATTTTCAAAAAGAAAACACAAAACAAAATTTAACTTTTTCCTGGTGATTTATATACCATGAATATGATTATACCGTGTAGTAAGGTAGCAGTGCTCTCAAGTCTTATTAAATTGAGGAATATTTGTCTCTCATTAAATAGCTCCAGATGTACTTTTGTGAGTTCTTCTCCGTTTTATGGTTTGTATGTATCATCTTTAGGTGTGAGACTCACCTCTTATTCTTCCTAACCTATAATAAAGGCACAAAGACAAATGGCAATTATCCTGAAGCCACTATTACTCTAGGAATCACAGATAAGATTTTCATATATATGATCCCACTGGAATTAGAAGTAAGACCTAGGCAAAATAATAATATTATTAAATGAATACTCTAAGGGTGAATTTTAGAGTGCACATTTAACAAGTGCTTTTTCTTCTTAGAGGAATCCAGTAACAGTCTTCCTTTGGTTTATACAAATTCATGCTCTCTTCATTGAATCATTTGATGTTGCCAGATGTCAGCATATCATTTCATTTTTCTATGACTTTGCACATGGAGTTACCTCTATCTAAAATGTTATGTCCTTCTTTCTAAATTTAGCAAACTCCCAGTCATCCATCAGGCACTTTCTGCTGCTCCAGGAAGCAGCTTCTGACATCCTCCAGTCCAGATCAGGATTAGCTGCGCCTCCCTATATATACTAATCCATTTCATTTAATTCCCCTGCAGTAATTCTTCCTACTTTCCTTTCTTCTGGACTGTATGTTATACTCTGTGTTCAAGGAGGATATTTAATGTCACTTTTTGTCCCCAGAATCTATTACAATGGGTATCACACATTAAATGCTGACTCACAGTTAAGTCATTAAATGCATGAAAGAATGGGAGTAAATAAATTAAGAGTAATTTTCTTTTTAACTGCCAAAAATAAACTCCAAAATAGCCAATAGGCCACTGGAGTCTTCTTGTGTTTACTTCATTTAAGCCATACCTGCTCTTGCCATACCTGGCTCTTGCCCCCAAAACAGTTCACAAAAAAAGCAGAGTTGCCATCTCTACTGGTCTGTCTCTGTTACTACTTGGCTACTTATTGGATCAAAAAGCCATAGAGGAGGGACTGATTCTGATTGGAGTTTCAGATGGATTCACTGGAGGCATTTGAACCCAATCTTAAGAGATCAGCAAAATGAGTCAGCAAGCAATGAGGAGCTATTGGAGATGTAGAAGCTAAGTATTATAATCAAATCTGTGTTTTAGAAATAGTCTCCATGGGGCAGTTGGAAGATGAATTGCAGAGGAGAGCAATTGGAGATGGAGGGCAAATTTGGTGGCTGGTGCGATAAATCAAGGTGAAAAATGCAGTTAGTAGAAATGGATTGGAGAAGGCGCTGGGTTAGAGGAAGAACTGATAACATCAAATGATTACTGTAACTGGGGAACAGACACTTGCATCTTAGAGAAAATAAATACTATTCCCTGATTATTTTGGAAGAGGGAGATTTAGATATTGTTTTAAAAGTTTCCAGCATATTCTTCCTATCTTCCTTTAAAGATTAGCTGGTCATTTGACTTAGAAAATGAGTTTCATTTAAAATATATACAATGGAAGCTGGAATAAGGGAAAGCAATGGCTCTGTGGCAGGGAAAAAGACAAGATATTTCATGCAAATTATAAATATGTTGAAGCACTCACAGAAATGGAGTTGATAAAATGCTTCTCAAGAGGACTTTATGCATACATTTGCATCACCTATTTAAAAAAAACCACTGCCATCATGTCATAGTGCCTTTGATGTGGGGAAGGTATACATAAGATAGTTACAGAAACATTTGAAGTATTGGTGCCTGCGGTCAGGTGGTTCCGATTCCTAGCAACCCTACATGACAGAGTGGAACTGCCCCACACCAGGCTGCAATCTTCACGGTAATAGATCACCAGGTCCTTTCTTCCTTGGAGCCAATGGTGAGTTCCAGAGCTATGCATGTAACCATTGTGCCACCAGGGTTCCTTCCAGTTGTGTTAACACATAAATCAAGTTGCAAAATCCTGGTTTTCCTGAGATTCATTGTGTAGGCTGCTCTTTTCTTAGCACTTAGTACCAGAAAAGAGGATAGCTACCAAACGTTGCTAAAGTTAGATGTTCCCAGTTGCTTAAATGGTAAAATGTACCATTTAAGTGGTTCCCAGTTGCTTAAATGGTAAAATGTAAACGTGGACATCTCATTCATGCAGGTGCGGGTGTTTATCAACCAGTTATATCAGCCAGTTTCGGAGGGAGAAATCAGCAAAAACCCGGATTTGCAGGCCATCCGAATCGCTGCTGTGAACCCCATCCTGGACCCCTGGATATACATCCTCCTGCGGAAAACAGTGCTGAGTAAAGTAGTAGAGAAGATCAAATGCCTCTTCTGCCGCATTGGCGGGGCCCGCAGAGACCGCTCCGGCCAGAACTGCTCAGAGAGCCGGAGAACATCGTCTGCCATGTCCGGCCACTCTCGCTCCTTCCTCTCTTGGGAGCTGAAGGAGATCAGCAGCACATCTCAGACCCTCCTTTACCTTCCAGAACTAAGCGAAAATGGGCTTGGGGGCAGGAATTTGCTTCCAGGCGTGCCGGGCCTGGCCCAAACAGACACCACCTCACTGAGGACTTTGCGAATATCAGAGACTTCGGACTCCTCACAGGGGCAGGACTCCGAGAGTGTCTTACTGGTGGATGAGGTTGGTGGGAGCAGCAGGGCCGGGTCTGCCCCTAAAGGGAACTCCCTGCAAGTCACGTTTCCCAATGAAACACTGAACTTATCAGAAAAGTGTATATAGTAGGTAAAGGAAAAAATGCAGCACTCTTTCTGGAAACTTACAAAATCCCGTGCAATAGACATAGACATGAAGCATTTATTTGTGCTCAGAAGGGCTACTTTCATCCCACGAGTCACATGACAGAACATCCTGGCTTTTGAGCACTTTTCAAACTAACAGCTTGATTCACATGTGTCCCAAGGACTGAAGCACATCGGTTGCCACACCTCTATGACACCAGTCAGTGACTGGGAAGATCGACCCTTGGTTTTTCTACTGGATAGGAGGATGGCAGGAATTGTTATTTGCATAATGTCGGGAACTTTATATCTGGCACACAACGGAGGGCCAGGTATGAGAAGGGCTCTATTCCAAAAAAACTATGAGGACTATGTTATGGATGATTTAAGTGTCTCACTAAAGCATGAAAATGTGAATTTTTATTGTTGTAAATATGATTTAAAGTATTTAAAGTATTTTCTTCTCTGTGAGAAGGTTTATTGTTAATACAAGGTATGAGAAAATATGGCAACCCGACATCTCCCAGTATAACCAGCTGAAGTTGCAAATGTTAGATATTTTTTCATACGCAAGTTCAAGTCAAAGGAGTGAAAATTCAGTGAGATTATTATCTATCAATGAATTTTTAAGATTTTAGAACTATCAGAGAAATAAAGAAAAATACTACACAAAACATGAGAAATACAGTCTAAAATAGTAAAGCTCTTTCCAAGCTATTATTATACATAGTAAGGAAGTTTAAGTGAGACTACATTTATTTATCCAGAAAACTCTTGACTTCAGGCAAACCAAACATTCTGGTCAGTATTTTCTGGTTTTTGTCCCACTAACTAGTACTTCTTAAGTAACACAAATCAAACAAGGCTTTAATAAGCAATCTGTCATTGAAATATAAAATATAAAACTAAAAAGTCTAAGCAGCTTGTTTTCCCTAAAAAGTGCACGTAGCTTTACTTTCCTAAGGAATGACCTAGAAACATACTTTAAAATGTAAGTGGAAGGCAAGCTGTGCCATTGAGAACTTTTTTTTGAAATGTGGAAGGATTGGTTAAAGTAGCCTTTTGTATATGTCATAAGAGTTTAACAACATGAAGGGTGCAGAACTTGGGCACTTAGAGTCACCTTGTAACAGTTTTGTGTGATACCCAGTCATGTTGTACACATCTTTGAAGGACCTTTGTCAAAGAAATATTAAGCATGTTTTGTTGCTTAAAGTGTTTTTGTGAATTGCTAGATTGGTTGTAATTGAATCCTGAGCCTCATATTGATATGGTTTTAAGAAGCAATTGTGCCAACTGAAATTATTTTGGAGATTACAATAAATAAATACACTCAATCTGAGTTCCATATCTTCAGTTTTGGAAAATTTGTGCATGATTTTTGTTTGCTTCAGGTCAGCTTCTATATAATTTTTAATTAAACCTTTTTTTTTTTTTACTTTTTATTTTAAAATCATTTCAAATTTACAGAAAAGTTACAAGAATAGTACAAAGCCTGGATCCATTTAGTGAAGAATGGTGTTTAGAAACCAAGCATTGTAGCTATTTTTAAATAGCTTTTTATAATTTTTTTAAATATTTAAAAAATTTGCTGAAGATAATTCAAAAATGGTTACATCAGTAGGGAACTGCCAGACATTATTGCTGGATCCAGAAGAGGACATGGAAGGAGGAATGGCACAATATTTTAAAAATTTATTTTGTAATTTAAAACCATAAAAAAGGAAACTCTGGGCCTAGATGACTTCACTTGGGAATTCAGAAAGAAATAATGCTAATCTATACAAACCCTGTCAAAAACAAAGCAGGTGAAAACACTACCTAACTTTTCTATAAAGTTTACATGACTGATTCCAAAACCAGACAAAGATATTACAAGAAAATAAAATTATAGACCAACATCCCTCATGAACATAATACACAAAAATCTTACCAAATAAAATACTACCAAGTTGGATCAAGCAACACGTTAAAAAATATATATATATTTCACACAACTAAGTAGAGTTTATCCCAGGAATGCAAAATTGATTTAACACCTGAAAAATGAACAATTCAACATATTAACATAATGAAGAACAATCATATGATCATCTCATAGATAGAGGAAAAGCTTATGACCAAAGTCACTACCAATATATGGTAAATGGCTGTGAGCAGACTAGGAAGGAAATTTCTTAAATTTAATAAAGGAGATATATATATATACACCCACTGCCATTGAATTGATTCCTACTCATAGTGACCCCCAATGGGTTCCCAAGGTGGTAAATCTTCATAGAAGTAGATTGCCCCATCTTCCTTTCACAGAGCAGCTGATGGGTTTCAACCACCAACCTTCTGGTTAGCAGTCAAATACCTTAAGCACTGCACCAAGACAGCTCCATATATATTTTGTTGTTGTTAGCTGCCTTCGAGTCAGCTCCGACTCATAGCGACCCAATGTACAACAGAACAAAATACTGCCTGGTCCTGTGGCAGCCTCACAATCCGTGCTACACCTGAGCCCATCGTTGCAGCCACTGTGTCAAGCCATCTCGTTGAAGGCCTTCCCCTTCTTCGTTGACCCTCCACTTTACCAAGCATGATATCCTTCTCCAGGGAATGGTCTCTTCTGACAACCTGACAAAAGGAAGTGAGACAAAGTCTGGCCATTCTCGCTTCCAAGGAGCATTCTGACTGCACTTCCTCCAGGACAGATTGGTTAGTTCTTATGGCAGTCCATGGAGCTCTGGTAGCATAGTGCCTAAGGCACTTGACTGCTAACCAGAAAGCTGGCGGTTCAAACCCACCAGCCACTCCTTAGAAGGAAGGTGGGCAATCTATTTCCATAGTGATACTGCCTCGGCAACCCAAGGAGGGGTCACTATGAGTCGGGTCCGACTCGACGGCACATAACAACAAACAACAACATGGCAGTCCATGGCACTTCTTCGCCAACACAACTCAAAAGCATCAACTCTATTTCAGTCTTCCTTATTCACTGTCCAGCTTTCACATGTATATGAGGCCATGGTAAATACCACGGCTTGAGTTGTTGTTGTTGTTATGTGCCATCGAATCATACCTGACTCATAGCGACCCCTCCTTGGGTTTCCGAGGCATTATCACTATGGAAGTAGATTGCCCAACCTTCCTTCTGAGGAGTGGCTGGTGGGTTTGGACTGCCAGCCTTCTGGTTAGCAGTCAAGTGCCTTAGGCATCTCTTTGAAAGACTAAGATATCTTTTGAAGACTAAGGTGCGCCTAACTCAAGCCATGGCTTGGGTTCCTCATGAGCACATGTACAGGTTCCTCATGAGCACAATTAAGTATTCTGTAATTCCCATTCTTCTCAATGTTATCCATAATTTGCTTTGATCCACACAGTCTAATATTTCTGCATAGTCAATAAAACACAGGTAAACATCTTTCTGGTATTCTCTACTTTCAGCCAAGATTCATCTGACCTCAGCATTAATATCTCTCATTCCACATCCTCTTCTGAATCCAGCTTGCAATTCTGAAAGCTCTCTGTCAATACACTGCTACAACCATTTTTTAATTTTCTTCATCAAGATTTTACTGGCATGTGATATTAATTATATTGTTCGATAATTTCCACATTCTGTGGGATCACCTTCCTTTGGAATGGGTACAAATATGGATCTCTTCCAGTCAGTTGGCCAGGTAGCTGTCTTCCAAATTTCTTGGAAGTGACTGCCTCCAGCACAGCATCCATTTGTTGAAACATCTCAATGGCTTTCCATCAATTCCTGGAGCCTTATGGCTCACCAATTCCTTCAGTGCAGCTTCGACTTCTTCCTTCAATACCATTGATTGTTGATTATATGCCACCTCCTAAAATGGATAGTCATCTACCAATTCTTTTTAGTACAGTGAATCTGTGTATTCCTTCCATTCTTCAATCTTCTTTTGATGTTATTTTGCATAGAATCTTTCAATACTGCCACTCAAGGCTTGAATTTTTTCTTCAGTTCTTTCAGCTTGAGAAATGCCAAGCCTTGTGGTTTTCTAACTCCAGGTCTCCCCAGATTTCATTATAATAATTGATTTTGTCTTCTTGAGTTGCTCTTTGAAATGTTCTGTTCAGCTCTTTTATCTTGTCATTTCTTCTGTCTGCTTTAGCTACTCTCTGTTCAAGTTTCAGAGTCTCTTCTGACATCCACTTTGGTCTTTTCTTCCTTTCCTGTCTTTTTAATGACCTTCTGCTTTCTTCATGGATGATGTTCTTAATGTCATCCCACAGTTCTGAAGATTTCCAGTCATTGGTAATCAATGCATCAAATCTATTCTTCAGATGGTCTCTAAATTCAGGAGGGATGTAATTAATGTCGTATTTTGGCTCTCATGGACTTAATTGTCTTCAGCTTCAACTTGACCTTGCACATGAGCAGTTGATGATCTGTTCCACAATCAGCTCCTGGCCTTGTTTTGCCTTAAGATATTGAGCTTTTCCATCACCTCTTGCCACAGATGTAGTCGATCTGATTCTTGTGTACCCCATCTGGAGAAGTCCACATGTATAGCCGCTGTTTATGTTGTTGAAAAAAGGTATTTGCAATGACTAAAGCATTGGTCTTGCAAAATTCTCCAGTGTTATTTCTCTATCACCAATGCCATATTTTCCAACTACTGTTGATTCTTGTTTCCAACTTTTGCATTCCAATCACCAATACTAATCAACATATCCTGATTGCATGTTTGGTCAATTTCAGACTGCAGAAGTTGGTAAAAATCTTCAGTTTCCTCATCTTTGGCTTTGGTGGTTGGTGCATCAATTTGAATAAATAGTAGTATTAACTGGTCTTCCTTGTAGGCATACAGATATTATCATATCACTGACAGCATTGTAGTTCAGGATGGATCTTGAAATATTCTTTGTGATGATGAATGCCATGCCATTTCTCTTCAATTTGTCATTCCCAGCAGAGTAGATCATATATGATCATGATTTAAAATGGCCAAAACCCATCCACTTCAGCTCATTAATGCCTAAGATATCAATCTTTATGCATTCCATTTCATTTTTGACAAATTCCAATTTTCCTAGATTCATGCTACAATTGTATATTCCATGTTCCAATTATTAATGGTTTGAAGGTGT